TTACTTCTTTCGTGTACCAATCACCATCCCTGAGTTAATTTGAAATGGGTTGCCTTCCCCAGCGTGAATTCGTCCTTTAAACTGCTCTGGATGGATGGAAGGCTTTGTTAACCCAGACCATGCTCGATCCAGGACTTGATCCTCGGACCGTGCGCGCGATAGGTGGAACCGCTTACCTTTACACCATTTCTGTTGCAGATATTCCACAAGTCCCACTTCTATCACCCCGTGCTGTTTCGGGATCCACAAAAATGACTAGTTAGCTGAAAGGCTTAATTTCAGTATCAGTCAGCCCCTATTTTGTGATAACAATATTCTAATTTTGCCAATATTGTCTCCAAGGTTACGCCTCCCTTCTCATAGCCTTGATCCGAGTATTGGACCACAATGCGGCGCGAGGCCTAACTCTACAGATGGTACAGGTTCTTCCAAGGAAGCCCGCAACACCACCCGAACTATCAGACACACCACCTGCTTAACGAGTCAATAAAACCAGTTTCGTTTAGATTGTCTTGACGATAGACATACTAGTCGTAAAGTATTGGGTGGATGTTCTTTGTGCACGGCCAAACTAAAAACTGGGATGTCAAAATCGGTAAACACTCAAAAATTTCAGTCCAAATTGTTTTTGAAAACAAGTTGAGAGACTGAAAATTGGATTTCGAATAAAACATCAAGTTTCAAGCTCTTTGTGACGGGGTTTGTTCCACAGCATGTCTGAACGCAATCCAATTGGCTCAGCTTTCACTTCTGGCTAAACCACTCATCCGAGGAAAACAAGCGCTCTGTCGTCCACCGGTTTTCATTTCACCATCACAAATAGGTTGCTGAAAACCTGTAGGTGGATTCTCTGTGCGGTCATATCGAACGCCTGATCGTTTTAGACCACAATCTTTAGCTACCCAGCTGTATTTTCCAGTGCTTCCCACGGCTACACTCTAGCCATTTATCGGAACCTTGGCACATCAATCAGCTGGCGCTCATTAACCCTCGGCGCTGGCCCGTACCCAACCGACGGGCGGTCCCGGTTCACAGCTAGTTGGTTCCGGGTTGAAATAGTAAGTAAGCGGACTCACCGTCAACCAGGCACCAGTCGTCCTCGGTCACCTTCCCGGCCGGACCCAACGACGACGTCTCGCTGTCATTGGAAGCCTGAACAAGAAATCGATCGATAAGCACACCCTGCACAAGGTTTGCATATCCAGAATGGTATGATGAAAGCGAAGCTGCGAATATGAAAAGCGCTTCCTTGTTTTTTTTTCTGAGTTTTTTTTAGACATTTCTTTGCAAAGAGAAGTGCTCAGAGTTACAGAAGATCCCAATCGAACTCGATCGATATATCGATTTTTATCCTGGTTCTTATACCTAGTGCCTCGAAAATGAGAGATGATGAAGACAGTTATTTTTTCGAATGGTAGTTCTCTATTCTTGGAATTTTATGTTTGCTACCCTCAATCGAAATCGATCGATATATCGATTTTTATCCTGGATACTGTATGTGACGCCTCAAAAACTGGGGAACGCGGAGGTATTTCTTAATTTTTTTGTGAGGCATTTTTCTTTTCTGAAATATGTTATGCTTGGAATAGGGCTATGTATTGTGAAGCACATCAAATGCTGTCTTACCTGGGAATCGTTGGAATCTTCAGCGCCGAAGATGTAACCGTAGAGACCGTGCAGCATAGTGTTATTGGAGGGAGAAGAGAGTGGAGGGAGGAGAAAGCCTAGAAGAGGGGAGCATGCATTATTATCGACGTGGGGGTGGCCCCGAAGAGGCGAGAAAACACGCCGGCCACTCAACTAGCACGAACAAATTCTATTCGAAACGGCGGGCACGAATTCACGATGAAAATGTACATCACAAGGGAATCGTCGGAGAGAAGATGAGAATGACGAAAGTGGCGGCTCCAAGTGGAAATCGGTGGTATTTGTGAAACGCGAAACGACATAAACATGGCAACATTGAGGTGATCAGAGAGCGCACGTCATGACGCACGCAATAGCGCAAGCGCTGCTTGAGCGCTCGGGGCAGGCAGACGGAGAGCAGAATGTCAGCAACGATCGGTTGCTAGTCAGCTCCCTCTCATCTCCACATCTTCCCTCTGCTCTCCTCTAGAGGCTGTAAAACTTAATTGAGCCGGCTGAAGAGCAGTTCCTAGAAAAAGACGCACTTAAATTATCTGTCTATCATAATTCATAAATCAAAGATAAATAGAAATATATCCTAAGGTTCAACCCAGAGCGCTCACAGCATATCCTGCCTCGTCGTGCAAGTGGCTTCGGAGTGGTGGGGGCAGTCCCGTAATATTGCGTCAAATTCACGGAAAATTTCAGTTGTAGGACTAAGCTTTAGAGAGATGATATCCGAACTGCCCTGTATAACGTAAAATTGGCTTCGGAGTTCGCTCGTCTGCATTAGCCTTATCCTAGTGGCCTGCGCCCCTAGAAGCGCACATTGCGTCCCTGCTTCATACCATTCAGTCAAGTCAACCGGGAAAAAAATTTGTTCAAAACACAAACCTATATTCCAGAAGGCTACAAAATGCTGACAAAATAGCGGCCAAAAGGGGTCTATTCCAGTTAGGGGGGCATCATGATGCAGAAAGCTAGGGTAACTCCGAGCCAGGGGGAGTGTAGCCAGTCTAGGGGGTGGGGGTGAGGGCAGTCACTTGACATGCGTGAAAAGCTGGAATGTTCGAGTTCACACTAGTTCGCCGAGAAACTGCATCATGATGCCCCCCCCCCTAACTGGAATAGACCCCAAAAAAGCGTCAAGGGACTCGTCACAAAATGGCAAAACTCAGAGAACTTGAAACTCATCAGTAAGAATTCTTGTTGACTGAATGTATAGCTAGGAATAGGAAGCGGAACCGAATGGTAGTCTGAGTGGGCGGTGCCTAGGCGTGATGACGCCGCCAAGAGTACGCACCACACACGGATATCATGTGAGTGGTGCGTACGGGGGGTGTGGGCGGTCGCTGACCCCGTCAAGGACGCAGAGTTGGTGCAAGTGAGAGACTAGAGAAACAGAGCCGTCGGATGTCCGTCTATGGAGCAGGTGTTCATACAGACAACCGGCCAAGCTGAACGTCCGTGCCAGATCAGGGTTGTCGTGGAAAACCGTCGACAACGTGACGATCTCCGGTAATTGGTGGCGCCAGATGGGACCACCGTAAGAGGACGCTCTAATCCAAATTAGCCTTATAAAAATGCCTAGGAAAAACAGAGGATTCCCTGGAACTTTGATCAATGGATAGACCAAAAATCGTTTTTTTTACGAGGGAAATTTTCGTTTGGTTGGCAAGTCTTCCCGCCGTAGCGCATAAGTGCAACACGGCGGATCGGTTTACATGCGGAACAATGGAAATGTAAACAGAATGAGTGTTGAGACTGGAGCACATAAAGCAGCATAGAACTTCAGTCAAGCCACATTTCTGGCCGTCGTTTTAACGGAGGGATAAGCGGAAACATCTGCGTTTTGTGACGTGTATAGCGCAGTGACAAGAAGTGCCGCTGTCGCGCCTGCAAATCAAAGGTCGGTTCTTTCATCTCATAAATCTTGCAAACTTCCTGTTCGGACCAGGTCTGGAACGAGTTGCCTCGGATTTGCAGAGTTGCAACATGGAAAAGCTCTAAATTGTCCCTCATTTAGCCCACAAATCAATTTTTCCTATTCCACATTGCCTTGATCGGTCAGGCTAGCCCTTCGAAGCTGAGCTACCTCCCACAGTCTCCTAGTTATCCTGACTGAACGCTATTCTACAGCGCTGTCCGCCCTTCTTCGTCCACCAGGGTTGAATGAGGGCAAATATTGCGCCACACAGAAGTTTCTCCAAAGGGTTATATAAGCTCGTCCCGTTCTTATTGAGAGGTCAGCCCCAATGTTGAAAATTTTACATAGAGAGAAATCTCAGCCCATAAAGTCTTCAGAATGTCCACGTTTCTAGGTTTCCCGGTTTCTAGGCGCAGCCCATAAAAGGGAAATGGTGCTTGTGAAAAACGACGGAAACCACGAGCGGTTGAAAGAATTCAGGGCGAAAAACAAGCTGCAGCTGGGGCTTGTTGGGCCAGCGTAGCATGCCAGCGAAACCAAGGCGTCAGCTCGTCTGGCACACGCCGATTAGAGCCGCGGCTGAAATCGAAAGCGCACACATCGTCGTCGGAGTCTTTCGCCGCACAGCACCAGAAATGGGGTTACGGGGAAGCCGCCTGGGACCGGAATTGGGCCATCAGAGGACGGAGTTAGCGACGGATCAGGCCACACACAACCGCTCGATAACTGCCACTTGGCTTCGAGTACTCACAGAAATCCGCATGACAACTGTTGCGCTCGACACGTGCATTGGAAAGCGTCGAGAGGTTTTTTTTCTGTAGGAATCTTTGGTCCATCGAGCCATAAAAAACGATTACACTGCGTCAGGAGGGGGGGAGGGGGTCCTTTGGTTCTTGGTCAGTCGAACCAAGTGAACTATGGACCCTCATAATATTTTGATGGTTAAGTCGTACGGAAAACTGAAAGACTTGCCCTCTGAGTTAACCAACGCCCGTGAAAAACCTTTTAGTCATTCAGTATTTGAACTATGTTTTAAAATAGATTAGGATTATGATTATGATTATGATTTAGTATTGTGTAATATTATTATTTTGTTGCCTTATCTAGTTTACTACAGCGAAAGTTGCTATGTTTTATACAGAAATAAATTAAATTAAACCACTCTGCATTCTATAATTATTGGTCAAACTTTCCAACTTTATTCTATACGATATTTTTACTTTAAAGGACGAATTCACGCTGGAAGGCAACCCATTTCAAATTAACTAGGGATGGTGAGTGGTACACGAAAGAAGGAAGAACCATGAGAAACGGCCCAGAACCCGAGAAATGGGACCCCTTCCTTGCCCGCTGATTTGCGCATTGATGCGACTCTTATCGCTGTGCCCTCCTCAACATCACGCTCTCTCTGCTATCTAATCAATCCCACGTATAGATCTGCGGCGAGTGATCAGCTGGTCGGTGGGCGGAGATCGCCAGACCCGCCAACTTTGAGGCATAATAGGTCGCCGAGGTCAAATTTTTCGATGCGAATTGCGCATCAGTTCGCACCCTCAGGAGGTCCGTGGGTCCCTCAACTAGGTGAATTACTTCTTCCTCGACCTCCATTCTAATCGTGAATTCCTCCTTTAAATCAATGGGGTGGGATAAAGAATCGTTTAGTTTCCGTTTCGCATGTGCCTAGACGGACCCTAAACAACCGGACGTCCTCCCTCTGTGTTCATCTAAGGATGGGAGGATGGAAGAGTTTGGTTGGAATCAATTTATTCAACCAACAGGTTAAGCTCAAACCAAAAATGAGTCAATATTATATAATTTATGATCGTATAATCTCATATTTCAGGTTTTCTGCCGCGACTCAACAGTTTTTAGAGGAGTGTTCAATGAATTCAAATTCAACTTTTTTTCCCTTTTTCATGCGACGGGAATTAGTTCTGAAGATGAAATGTGATAAATCGGAAAGAAGGTAAACTTAAACTTGAGATTTTTCACTTGAGATATCCTCATATGTAAAAAGAATATTTATCTCATCCCTATGAGTTGGTATCCGGAGCGCCCGCCCCCCTGAGGTTTGCTGTGATGGCCGGCCGTTGCCCTTATTTTTCTTATTTGGACCGTTATCGCTCCCCTCCCGAGGCCTTGCCAGGCCGTCTTATCAACTATTTAATATCGTTTCTTATTTCATTCAATTTTTCTGTTATCAATCATATTGTAACCATTGAAATCTCGCTTTTCATTGCTACATTATTTTGTGACCCGTTGTTGTGCAATAGCTGTAAATAGAATAAATAAATAAACAAAAACCAGCTGACCTTGTCGTGATGGTTTTCTGTGAGTTCCGAAGCCTGGGCAATAATCCAAAAACGCCAGATGGCATTGATGTGTTCTCTACAGCCACTAGCTTGAGCTTCCGACTAATCCCCCAGCACAAATTACATAGAAGCAACCGCGTTATGGGAGTTCGAGCTAATAAAGTGGAGCATCAGGGATACTGACTGAGCGAGATCAAAGACCTACGCTATTGTCGTCTACGACGGCAATTCCCTGCGTGGGCACGTCCGTCTCGTCGTCGAGTGAGGCACGACATTCTAGCCGATGGAGTCTCGGCCCCTCGGAACGAACATGTCGTTGATTATTTATCAATTAATGCAAATAGTCCATAATCCAAATAGACGTTATCAATTCCGATTAGTGTCAATTTGTTGTACCCGCTTGCCTATAATTCATTTAGACCCGCTGAGCCACCCCCATATGCTCCCTCTGCGACCAGCACTCCCCGACGTTTCCGTTTCTTCGGGAGAATTTTGATAAAAAATAATCTAAGCTACCTTTACAAACACGGCAGATCGGGTCCTCAAAGCGTCAGTCAAACGAGAAAACAGAAACATAGGAAATAAAGAAATTCTGAAGAGAAACGATGAAAATGTCCAATCAACTGACTCGTGTCACGTCGTCGTCAGCTGTTCGGGGCGGCTATCGTAAACAACGAGTTTTTTTTTCAGCGCGTCAAGGGGAACAGAGATAATCACCTGAGCCACCTTGGCCGCCACTGTGATAACGACAATACCATGCACGGACAAAAGTCCCCCAATCAGCTACACTATCTTGTTGTTGTTTACGAATCCTTGCC